ACAACCCAAGTCCTTTGGTTCTTTGTGAGGTTCCTATTCCCTCTGAAATGTTTACTTCTTCATTTAAGGGGGTTTTCAAAGGGTTGACTCAACCCCATTGTACCTCACCCATTTCCTTGGAGCTGACTCCGGTAAGTATGACCAAACTCTCCTCCAAAAAAGAATTCTCCACTGGGCTGTGTATCTGGGCCCCAGCCTATCTGAGTAATTTCTGCTACCAATAGACAAGGAGTGGGGAATTTCCCCTTCAATGCTCACATTCCTGCTTTCCCATCTCCCACATACCCACATAACCATTACAACGTAGCACACAGCTGTTTGTTAAAGCTTCCAACTACAGAAGGGAATCCTGGGCCACGAAACAACCCACAGTTACAAAAGGTAATATCATGGTTTCATGTTACTCAGTTGGCTTGGCTTGCTCACCCATGACTCAGACTTCTGGGGGCCTCCCTGCCTGGCTCCCTGTGTAATCTGTCTCCTCTGTAACCCAGCCCTGGAATCCTTGCTCTTCCTTTTTAATTATCTCTCACTTCTACACCCAGGCCAAGGTGCATATGATTTCTCTCTCTCTCTCAGCCTCATTAACTTTTTAGGAATGGAGTCGTTTACCAGGGCTCCTAAATTTTCACCTGTTACAGGTCATAACTGCTCCTTTCAAAGTCCCCTAAGACCCAGGAATGTTCCCAACTGGCCTCTCTGTTCAATCTCCTTTTGGACTTTTCAAGATCCAGTTTCCTCCTATTTTTTTTTTCATGGTGAATACTCAAGTCCCCCAAGTCTCTGATGTATTGACCCAAGGTCCTTCCTCCTAAAATACCCTAGGACTCTTTCCCAGAGCTTCTTTTGTTGCTCACTCCTCCTACAGCACAAAGCGACAGGGCTAAAGGCAGATGGAGAGGGAAAAGTGTCCCATTAGGGGGTTTCTGACAGAGATGTGAGCTCCAGAAAGACTGTAGCCCTGTGATGTTCTCCTTGGGCCTGCACATTTGAGAATTGATATTCCAATTATGAACTTCCAGGCCCGACAGACAGGATTAAATTGACTTTGTAATTTAATACAAAGAGAAATTTAGATGTATAGGTTTAATATAGTTTAAACTCTTTTTCAGTTTTGGAGGAAAAATACTTAGATTTGCATTTTCTCACATGCTATATTTTCCTTTACTCTTTCAAGTGTGTATTGCAATAGTGCTTTAAAACCATTTTAAGGGCACCTGGGTGACACAGTCAATTAAGCGTCCGACTCTTGATTTCGGTTCAGGTCATGATCTCACAGTTCATAAGATAGAGCCCTACATCAGGCTCTGCACACTGACAGTATGGAGGCTGCTTGGGATTCTCTCAGCACAGAGCCTGACACGGGGCTCTAACCCACAAGCAGTAAGATCATGGCTTGAGCTGAAGTTGGACACTTAACTGACTGAGCCACCCAGGTGTTCCTACAGTCAACAAATTTTTAAAACTCACTATTTTAGAATATAACCATACTTTATTGAATCTAAGACACCAACTACTGTAAGACATACCATGTAGCACAAAGAAAGAAAAAACATTAGCATTTAAACTGTGGCATGCCACTGATTGATTATAACACATAAGCCAATCTCAGAGTTGTTAAAATGTGGTCATTGTGGTCCTATAAATCATTGATGATTTATAGCAGTATAAATAAATATACATATAAGCCATGTTCATTTATTCACATGGTTGATCTGAAAGTTAAATTTAAGTGAAGTGGCAGTACTAGCTTCACATAAATATTAGTTTTCATTTACTAGGCGCTACTAAGTCCTATGCCCCAGACAAGTGTCAACTGGGGGGTTGCCTTGTCATTCCTATCTTCCTTATACTTCTTAATATTTTCATTTACTGAGTACTTCCCAAGTGCTGAGTGCAGTACATGAATTATCTCATTGAATCCTGACAAGAACACTCCAAAGCAGGTACTATTCTCCAACTTTATAGAGGTAGAAATTGAAGCTCTGGGAGGTTCAGCGACTTGACCAAAGTCACACAATTAGTAAATGTGGCAGATCAGATATGCTGACTTCAAAGCTAGAATGTTCTAGCATAAAAGCATTCTCAAAGTTGAAAGGGACTTAGAAGTCATTGCTCCTCCATTCAAGAATCTCCTTCTCTAGCATCCCTAACAGATAGTGATAGTTTCAGTATATCTGACCAGATAGATAAGCACCTATCCAAACCAGTAATTATCAAACCTGCCTGATATTCAAAAGCATCTGGGAAGCTTTTTATAAATGCGAATTCCTGGAGCACCTGACTGGCTCAGTCAGTTGAGCATCTGACTCTCGATTTCAGCTCAGGCCATGATTCCAGGGTCGTGGGATCAAGGCCCACATCAGGCTCTGTGCTGAGTGTGGAGCCTGCTTGAGATTCTTTCTCCCTCCACCCCTCTCCCTGCCTCTCTCTCTCTCTCTCTCTCTCTCTCTCTCTCTCTCTCTCAAAATAAAAATAAAAATAAAAATAAAAATAAATAAAAAGCAAGTTCCTGGGACTCTCTTCCAAGGTTTTTTTTCTTTAAGAGGTCTTGAGTGAGGCCTAGAAATCTGTATGTTTGGAAGCATATCCAGGTGATTCTGATGAAGCAAGTTTACAAACCATTAATATAATCTCACAAAGTCTTAGGTAGAAACCATTGTTGGGAGAAGAAGTTGAATATCAGCCCCATCAAGGAAGTAGTGACTTCTGCACAAAAGAAGAATGATGCCATGCTTCTCCATTGGTTAGAATAATCCAACACTGAGACATGAGTAAGGTAAACAATACCCACAGGAAACTCCACATGAACCATTGAACCCTACATGTTTTGGGTGGGCTAAATCCTTTTACCAACTAAATCTCAGCCCAGACCCACTCCCAGGTGCTATCAGGAAGAAAGACATCATTGCTAGTTAAGATGTGATGTGTTCCCAGGCCTAGCCCAAAATGCATATCTCCTAAGAATGGTTCTGCCCCAAACCACCCCCTCACTACTCTCATTGGCTTCTCCATGACCCAGAGATTAGAAGTTGAGGTCTTATCCCCAATAAAGCAGCCCTAGAAATTTTACATGAAGAGGTATGAGAGGTTCCTATCATAGTAGGGGGAGGAGGTCTGGATGCAAACCGAAGGCAAATAAGCACTTGGCAGGCATACTGTAGGGAGCAGTGAAGCATTAGATGGGGTGGAAGGTGCACTGCTTCCAAAATAAATAAACCTCCTATTCAGCTCTCTAATTCAACAAATCTCAAGTCCACTAAGATTTCATCCAGCCTTGGCTCTGAAATCTGTACAGCACACTGTCCAATAGAACTTTCTACAATGGGGGAAACATTCTAGATCTATACTATGTAATATGGCAGACACTATCCACATGTAGCTATTAAGCACTTGGAATATGGCTAGTGTGGGAAGAAATTTTTAGTTTTTAAATTTTATCTAACTTTAATTTCAATTTAAATAGCCCATGTGAGGGTGCCTGGGTGGCTCAGTCAGTTGGGCGGCCAACTACAGCTCAGGTCATGATCTTGTGGTCTGTGAGTTTGAGCCCCGTGTCAGGCTCTGTCCTGAGTGCTCAGAGCCTGGAGCCTGCTTCTGTTTCTGTGTCTCCCTCTCTCTCTGCCCCTTCCCTGCTTGTTCTCTGGCTCTCTCTCTCTCTCAAAGATAATAAACAATAAAAAAACAAAAATAAATAAAAATTAAAAATAGCCCACGTGATTAGTGGCTACCATACTAGGCAGTGCAGTTCTAGAGGGACTGACCCAGCCTCATCTTGAACTTTGTGATCAAAGCTGCCTATTCAACACCCGCTTTTAGGAAAGTACAAAAGTACAATGCTCGAGAAGATAAAATATGTCAGGAGGGAGCACCATGATGGGGCCACCACAGAAATCAGCATCTGCCCAATATTTTTAGCCACCTTAGGGGTAAGGCAGAAATGACTTCAGGGATAGTCCAAGCAACTGTGAAGATGCCAGTTATTAAAATCCATCCCAAAACAGCTGATCAAAGGCCAACTTCAGGGTGTGATGTGATCTCCTTGCAATTTCTCTTATGCTCTGCATATGACAGCGACAATTTTTACTTTCTTGTTTCTCTTCCTCCAATCAACTCAGTGCTGTCACTTTCTTTTCATTGTTTCTATGCTTCATTAGCCACCTCTTTCACCAGCTAGTCTTGCTTATATCTTTAGTCCAAAAAAAAAATGCACAACTTGGCTAATTTAGGCAACCAGTCATTTTGGTGAGAACTCTGGGTTGAGATGGTCATTGGACTTAACTGGTAAGCCAGCCAGAGCCCTGTGCTGATAGGATGGAAGGGGCCTCCTAGTTTCTCTTCCACCCACACACGTGTCCTTTAACTGGGATAGTTCCACCCATGTACGAATATCAGGAAAAATACCTCTCAAATATACAACAAATATACAACATACAAAATCCTCCAAGAGTTGAAAAAACTGTAGGAACAGTAGGGGCTCCTCTCCATCTGTTCTATGAGTACTTATTGAGGTTCCTTTGTGTATCAGGCATTGCTTTCAGCTCCCAAAGTAAGACAAATAAAGTCTCTCTTTCATGGGACTTAACATAACAAAAATGTAGTAAAAGAGTTATTATTTATTGAGCTTCCACCCCATAAGAGGTACCCATTTCTCATAACACTCCTGGAAGATAAATACTATCATCCCCAATTTATAGATACAAAGGTGGAAGTTCAGGTTTTCCCAAGATCACTTCAGTCTGTGTGTTCTTTCTGCTTCTCCACACCGTCTGCTTGTGTAGTCTCTTCCTCTACTTATACAGTAAAGGATTCCAAGCACATTTATTTAAAGGCTATTCCCTTACCACAAGAGATTAAGTTCATCCAGATTAAGACCTGGTGAGCAGAAGACCCATTGTTTAAGGCAGGAAGGAAGAATCACTGCCACCCAAAGCCAAGAAGAATAGGGCCTTCTATGGGGAATTTTGTAGTTAAGCAAATAGTTTTCAGAGAAAACTTACCGGCCACCACACCATACTTCGTCCTGCCAGGAAGAAGCCTCCAACAGTCCCACGATTAGTGGAAAACATAGCCTGAAGAGGAAAGGTCAAAAATTTAGTATAAAACTAGAACAGAGCAACTTTGCCTGCCAAAAGGACATACCTCTCCCACTCCCATATACTTGTACTTTCTTTTACTGTCTTTATTTCTGAGGCACTTACACATTCCTTACTCCCCTAGAACTCCACTGTACTTAGATGAAGGAGGCAGGGACCTACATATGACAGACAAGAAGACTGAAGCTCAGGTTTAAAAACCTTTCCCTGGTGCAGCTCTGCAATGAGTTCACAGTGTGGCTTCAAGCAAGTCACTCCACCTGAATGTTTGTTACATAAGGAAAATGGAACTTTTCATGCCATTTTTACAAGCATACTCAAGGTGCCTAATGAAATATCATTCTTTTTGGGATGCCTGGCTGGATCAGTAGGATAAGCATCTGGCTCTTGGTTTCAGCTCAGGTCATGATCTCACAGTTCATGAATTCAAGCCCTGCACCAGTCTGTGTGCTGACA